GTTGTTTTGATTTAAAGTGAAACGATGCAAAAAACATCAGCTGTACTGAAAAGAAAAGATCGTGGATCAGTAGAAACTCTGCTGCACGGGGACACAGAGAAATCTTGGATTTGTGGCTAAAATAAAAACTGTTTTTTAAATCCCAGCTGAGGACACAGACTCAGCTGGAGCAGCAGTTTCTATTTATTATCTCACTTCATCTAATAAAAAGATTGAACGTCTCTTACAGAGAAATACATTTGCCACGGTTTTAATTAATTAATTAATTTTTTAACGTAACTTCAGAAACTTTTCTGGCTTTGACCGTTATTTTTTCCGAGACCTGAAAATGAATCCATCGTTTAAAGGTTTGACTGTTTCACTGTGACGTGGACCAGTCGTGTGTGCAGTGGTGTGTTGTCCTGAGACTCAGACCGACCTGTCAGGCCTTGTCATGTCACACACACACACACACACACACTCTCACTGCCCTCTGGCCATCAGTGTCAGTGTTGCATTAGTTAAACAGGACAATAGACTGAACTTACACCCCCCACTCCCCCCCCCCCCCCCCCCCCCCACACACACACACACACACTAACAGGATAATCACTGGCCAATTAGACACAAGCTTGATCTGTCTGGATGTATTCAGTCATCACAGACCCTGCAGCCCCCGTTACTCAGGCATGGACGCACACACACACACACACACACACACACACACACACACACAGCGACACTCCACTGGATGAAACACTGACCAGTCCCTACGTGACCTCTGACCCTCAGTGTTTGTGGTTCATGTGGTTCATCCACAGTCACTGTAACGTCAGGAGTCAAAAGACGAACGATCAGGTGTGAGCAGGACGGTGACCTCACGTGACCTTACCCTAGAGGCATTTAGTCGTGATCCCACCTCAGCCGGTTTCCTTTATCAGTTCAGTCAGGGATGTTCGATGATGTCGACCAAATTATTTTGTCAAACTGTAATATTAGCGTAATTATGTAATTTCATGGAAAAAGTCTGAGAGTTTTTGTCACTCAGTCACACAACAACACAAGGCTGCACTTACCTTCTTTAACCACCAGGCCACCATATATACACCATCGGTATCGGTTGATATTGAAATGGGAAGTTAAGTGTTTGGAAAATATCGACATCTCGGATATCGACAAAAATCTCGGACATGCCTTTGATGTTTTACTGTTTTAGTTCCTGTTCACTGACGATAAAACGAAGAATAAACCGAGGCTCGTGCTCTGTTAGCTGAGGCTTCACCGTATTATCACGACTGGTGTTTTTGAGTTTTCTGAATGAACATCAATGCACATGTGTGTAATGTATGTGTGTGTGTGTGTGTGGGGGAGGGGGGGGATGTTTGTGAGGATTGTTTTTGTTTTTTCTCGGCCTTGTTGACCTTAACTCCAGGCTCCACTCCATTTGAATGGATGATCCTCACCACCATCATCGCAAACTGCATCGTTCTGGCTCTGGAGCAGCATCTTCCTGATGGAGACAAGACGCCTTTGTCCGAGCGACTGGTAACACACACACACACACACACACAACCTCATATTCACCGTCCACAGAAGCTCATCAATTCACATTCACAGAACAAATTATGGCTGTAATTGATGCACACTAATCGTTTCCTCGCCACCTCCCTTTCCTCTCCCCTCTCTTCTCTCCCCCTTTCCTTCCCTCCTTGCAGGAAGAGACAGAGCCCTACTTCATAGCCATCTTCTGCTTTGAGTCTGGGATCAAGATCCTCGCTCTGGGTTTTGCGTTACACAAGGGCTCCTATCTGAGGAACGGCTGGAACGTCATGGACTTCGTGGTCGTGCTCACTGGGTGAGTTCTCACATCTTACTTTGGTTCAGCTTTAAACCTGTTGTTGTGTGTTTTTGATCAGATGAGGTGAATCTGATTGGCTGTTTGTCCTTTTGAATCATTTGTCCTGATGAACTCTGGTGACGCTCCAACTTGTGTTTTGATGCAAGGTGTGAACTTTTGTTCTGCTCCTTCACTTCCTTCTCCTTCTGTCCTGGATCTTTATACAAATACACACAGAAAACTGAAACTTTAGACAGTAAATGGGTCGAGCGGCCATTTAGAGAGAGGAGAGAGTGGAGGAACGATTGGAGAGGATATGACGATACTGAAGGAAACTGTTGCTCTGTCTGTTTGAGTCCAGTTGAATCCACGGAGAATGTTTTAGAAGCAGCTTGATTTTTTTTTTTTCTTCTCAAAATGACTGAATTGAATGATTGTAAACTGAGTGACTGAAGTGTCGCCTGTTTGGTAACAGTCACCACAGGCTTTGTCTTGTCCTGTGGCGGTCAGCGGTCCGTCACCTCTGACCTGTGATCACTGCAGGTCAACGCTGAACTTCCACAGGTCGTTAGGTGAAGGTCACTCTCAGGTGAAGGTCACTCTCAGGTGAAGGTCACTCTCAGGTGAAGCTGAACCAAAACACTAAAACTGGTTTAATTATCTTATTTACTAACTCTGACTAACTCTGAGGTTCTTAAAACACTAAAACTGGGTGAATTATGTTATTTACCAGTGTTACTGTGTTCATGTCCAAAAATGGTGATTTTTTAAAATTAATAATTCACATCGCAGTAGAACTAACTCTGACTAACTCTGAGGTTCTTCTCATTTACACTGAGTCCTAATGTAATTCAATAGATTAAAAATAGAAACATCTGGAACATGGAGTCGTTGCATGGTGAAAAACATATATTAATGACTGAATGTGTGTGTGTGTGTGTGTGTGTGTGTGAAGAGGTGTTGTGAGAGATGCGGCTGCGTGTGTGTGGTGAGTCTAAATATAACCACATCAGACGTGGGGTTGTTTGGTGAAAGTGTTGTTCACGCGGCGTCGGCTTCAAAGGAGAAGAAGACAAAACTGAAACTGAAACCAAAGAAACACACGTGGCTCGGCTCACTGACCGTGGGGTCGGTCAGTCAGTGAGTCAGTCAGTCAGTCAGTGAGTCAGTCAGTCAGTCGGTCAGTCAGTGAGTCAGTCAGTCAGTCGGTCGGTCGGTCGGTCAGTCAGTCGGTCGGTCGGTCGGTCAGTCAGTCGTTCGGTCGGTCGGTCGGTCGGTCAGTCAGTCAGTCAGGTCAGTTACTGTAGGGCTGTGGAGCCGTACACCTCTCATGATGATAAAGTCTGTGATGAACTGAGATGCAGTTTTAAAGACTTTAAAAATACATTTTAAACAATTATATATTCTTATATATTATTATTAATAATATGAATATATATTATGATAGTTAGAGATGTGTTTGTTTTTGTAGTGGAGCCAAAGCCAAGCCATTCCCATTATACGTGTGTGTGTGTGTGTGTGTGTGTAGACATGTTGTAGTGGCTCTTCTCTCTTCTCTGATCACACACACACACCCAGACACAGCAGAGGCCTGGGTCAACAACGCCCGGGTGGGTGT